TGCGTCGCCACAGTCACATAGCCTAACCTCAAATGGACTACTAGAGGATCGGCTATCGATTGCTCGAACTCGTGTGAGAAGTATTTGACATCTTGCTTGGCTGAAAATATGAAAATTAATAACGTACGAGTCATTTCAATCACGATAAGAATAATAACATAAAGCAAGGTGTGACATAAACAAGCACATAACAATAATGCAGCAATTTACACTTTGCACTTACCTAACAATACTGAAAACCAACTGCAGCAAGCACATACCAACACTAACATATTATGTTACTTTACACTAACATAAACAAGCACATAACAATACTACAGCAATTTCACTTTCAATTTTATAAGGAAAACCAATTACAACAATTTACACTAACCTAACAATACTGAAAATTATGCACATAAACAACACATAAAAAGGTACTTAACTGATTCAAGCAGTTTAAAACAACACCAAAACATGCATCAAAATATCTCTCTTTAAATGTAAGCATGCTTATAAACTTATTCTTAGCTGAAACTTAACCCCTCAAAACTCATAATTTCAGCACAAAATAAAATATAACATAATGTTCAAAATAGTGACATAAACAAGCAAGGTAACAATCAACACATTAACAACAACATGCTTTCCTATCTTTTTCTCTTCAAACTTGGTTGAACTTAAACATGAAATGAACTCTTCGAAACTAAAAACTTAAGATCAATATCATCATGAAATAAATCACAATTTGAACACAAAAGTAACACAAGGATCAGCTATACACAAGGCAACACAAGGCTAAAGCAACTTGCAACATGCTTTCTCTTTCTCAAAACTTAAAACCATGCAATTCAACTTTTCAAAACTGAAACTCAGGTAATACAACCTGTCATTCATATAACCACTGTCTAAATCTAATAATTGACAAGCATAACACTACAAACAGAAATAAAGAAAGAGAAAAGCCTAAGTCCACAAAGAAGGACAATACTCTGACAATTAAGCACATAAACACCACATATAAAAGCACTTAACAAGCTCATCAACTTCATAAATAATATGGCCAAAACATGCATCAAAAATAACAATCAGCCCAAAAATAGAATATAACAGAATCTTCATAATAGTGACATAAACAAGCAAGGCAAACAATCACCACATAAACAACAATCTGCTGTTCTTTATTTTTTTTTTCTTCAAACTTGGTTATACTTGAACATGAAATGAACTCTTCGAAACTGAAAAGTTAAGCTCAATAACAGCATGAAATCAATCACATATTCAGCACAAAAATAACACAAGGCTCAACTATACACAAGGCAACACCAGGCTAAAGCAACTTGCAACTGAACAATACTCTGAAGAAGGCACTGAACAAGGCTTAGCAACTTCATAAATAATAAGGCCAAAGTTAAGGACATAAACAACACATAAAAAGACACTTAACAAGGCTTAGCAACTTCATTGACAATAATAAGGCCAAAACATGCATCAAAATAGCACCTATGATCAGAAAGCAATGATCTGAACACATGAGAGAACCAATATCAGCAAATTGATCATTATATCCAATGATCTGGAACCATTATGATCAGAAGGTCCTACCATCTTTCATGTTTAAAAAAGTGGAACAACTAAATAGCAGAAAAGTTAAAATGACTTATTGTTATCCTTTTTTTTTTTTCCTCAAATGGCAGAATATTTACAAGATTTGTAAAACATTCAACCAAAAAATGGTAACGCACGCTCGATACAAATGCATACTTGAATCTTAAAGCAATATCAGTACGACATTAAAGAATATGAAAGGTTGTGAAATTTTTCATACCGTTTTTCCTGGTGGTGTGTGGAGTACACGGCGGATCCCTTTTCTCGCCCGTCGGTGGGGAGAGAATGAAAACCCTAATCGCGTTATGTGGCAGAAGGTTCACAAAATTAGGGTAATGTTAGGAAAAAATCAGATGAGTACATAAAAAATGGGAGTTACCTCACAACCCGCAGCCGTGTGACAGATTTGTCGTCGCAATTCGTCGTCGGAGTGTCGGAATCCCACATGTCCTGACTGCCTTGATTCCAATTTAGAGTTCGTTCGAAAATAATGAAAGGGGGAAATGAGATGATGAAAATCGAAGCCCGTCTCAATAGGCAGCCAGGGATAAAGATGTCATTGCAAGACTTACCCTATCACTTAAACCAACAAAGTAAACAACAAATTATTTTCGCACAACTCTGTCCCACAAAGTAAACAAGGGACGAAAAGCTGACGTGTAAAGTTATGCAGATTATTTTGTGTAATCCTGTCCCCCAGAGTAAACAAGGCCTTAGAAGGAATTAGATAAGGAATTTTGAATCTGCCTTTTTTCAGTATAGATAGACTTTACGTACAACTTTTGACTTCACTGATTTTATGGGATTTGTTTTGATAAATTTGATGTTAATATGGAATAAGACAAATAAATAAAGCCTTTTTTATTTTAGTAAAGATTTTACGTCTTTTATTTTTACTTATCAGATGTTATGAGATTTTTTTTTCTTAAACTGATTTTATAAGATATAAGACAAATAAATAAAATAATTAAATAAAATTCTGGATAGAAATAGCAATGCATTAATTACGTTGACTTTTTAACCTACTAAATTTGGTAAATAGGATAGATTTTGACCGATCAAATCTTTTATCACCGATGTAATATGCCTTTTTTTTTTTGGGTTTTACGCAATTTTTTGAGAACACAAATTTTATAGGAATTTTTTTGATTAAACCGATGTATTGGGAGAAAACAAATAAATAAAATAAGTAAATAAAATACTAACCTAAAAATAGGATGCATTAATTAATGTTTATTTTTTTTACTACTAAATATAGTAAATCGGATGACTTATTATATAAGTATAGATATAGATTAAATAATATGTGATTTTTCATTTTAATAATATTCTTACTGTTGTAAGTAATACATATTATATTAGGAATAATTATATTAAAACAAAAAAAATAATAAATAAATAAAAATAAAATAAAACATAATATTTTAAAAAAAAAATATCATATCATAGCATATATCACTATAAAAAAGGCGCAAAAATTAAGTTGAATTATAAATCATTTTAGCTTGGAAAATTTACACTTACGAAGTTAGTG